CTTTTTAATTGATCAAATTTTAGTTTTATAATTATATTAATGGGATTCACAACTAATATTATTTTTTCAATTACATATTTTATGAATGTTATCATGATTTGTTAAAACTTTTATCAGAATTTCTGCTACACGTTACAGTCCGGTGTACAGCCCCTCACATGAGAGTTGGCCCGTGCATTAATTGGACGTGGGCCCCTTCCCTCGTTCTTTGCAAAACTCTGCAATCTTCAAGTGGGCTTATAGCAAGTGGTTATTTTCAATTTTTTAAAAATAAGCTAAAAACAGAAGACAATCTACAAGTACTTAAATTTGGCAGTCTTGTGGTTTCACTGTATATAATTTCATGAGACCATGAAACAGATTGCTTGTGACATTGTCTTTTCTGACATGTATATCTTCTTGCCTATGTGGACCATTAAAGCAGAAGCATATTTTAGGTTAAAAAAAGTGAAGGCAGAATAGAACCTTTGTAGGGCTTCAAAATTATATCATTCATTGTCCACTAGAAACGTGAAAAATAGACAATTTTTTTTTTTTTTTAATTTGGGAAGACCAGAAAATAAGCTATTGTATGTCACAAATCTAATGGGGATATGGATGTGAAAGTGACATGTAGATGTTACAAGGCCACTGATTTTAGTACTAAGAAACTCTACAACAATAATTTTTTGTTTAAATCACGAAATCTAAGTTATGTAAAGATTAATTAGTGGTAATTTTGATGTCATAATCACTCTAGAAACACTTTTAAATGCATGTTTCAAGGAGTTTTATCTTTCAGTTGTCTCTCTGTATTACTTCTTTATATAACTTGTGGAACTTCGCCTATAGATTTTCGTTAAGAGTATGCTTACAAGTGTTGAATTATCTTGCCTAAAAGTTTAAGAGTTTCAACTGCTAGAGATTAGACAATTTGTTCCATATAATATCTCACACATTACATTTTCATAGATATCATCTGCAGGGCTTGATCTAGAACACTTTGTTAATGTGTTGAACTACCTCACTTGAAGTCTAAGTTGTTAAATATTGAAGAAAGTAAATTATTTAAATTTTGTCTTTAGTGACAATTACTCGATGAACCTTTCCAACGTTTCTCTGGCTCCCATCATCAACAAACAAACTAAACTTTATTGTCAATTACTTTGGGGTCTTTCACTTGAAACTTCATAATCATTCTGTTCAAACAACTACAATAGCTAATTTTGGTTTACCACTTCATCTTCTAATTTGCTTTAACAATATCGCGTCACTATTACGAATGGAAGCCTCTTCAAGTAAATGAAAAGATGACCTTAGCACCCGAGTCTCCCTTTAATGATTAATAATCCATGGGGTCTCCACATATTGACTCCAACCTCACTAATTATCTTCTTCTAGATTTTCAAGGTGGAGAGGGTGCTAATGATACATGAGCTTGATGATTTTTTTGTTAAACAAATCAAAATTTTAAACTCAATTCAACCCCCCCTCCCCCCTCCCACCCAAATAAAAAAATAAAAATCCAAACTCGCCCCCTAAGTGAAATATCATACCAAACACTAGTTAAAGCCAATTAAATTGAAAGAAAGGGACATAAAGTGAAGGAAGGTGTGATTGTACAGCATTGTAGGAAGAGTGACAGCCTGGTTAAATGGACCCTTTCCTAATAATTATTTTCTATGTACCCCACTAATACAATATTACATATTATTTGCTTAATGTGGTCCCTTTTGTTCATTATGTCCGGAGTAATTCATGGAAAACTATGATTTTTCTTAATATCTGCAGTCAAAATCCATTACTTTTTACTCCTACCAAGTTGACTTTACAATTAGAACAAATCTTCTTTGATTAATTTTGATTGTAAGAATCTTCTACTAGTGTTGATTTTGGGTTTAATTATTAAGGCAAAGATAGAATATTTTGAACAAGGTGAGAGCATGTTTGGCTAAGCATGGAAAGTAATAAAAGTTACTTTTAATTAATTTTTAGATTAGTTGCATTTTCTAAGTAATTTTTTTATTTTAATAATAAATATCATCTTCTAGTCAAAATAAGTTATTTACTTGTTTGTAATAACTAATAACTCTGATTATCACGTTTTTGTTTAATTATTATATCAAATTAGTATATTTGGACAAGGTCTAGTTTATTGTTGATGTGAACCGAAAATTCAAGTTTGGAAATGATATCAAATAATAAAACTTATTTGTTGAACTAAGTAATCCGAAATATAAGTTACTATAGAAGGAGAAAATTATTTATCAATATGTCAAGCACACGTCCAAATCAAATTCATTTTTTTCATAAAAACAATTGAATTTAGGTCATTTGTCTATTTTAATACCATATTAAATATATCATCAAACAATTTAAGTTATTAAATAACATCTTCAACGATGATTTCTACGATTATTAATTTGTTGTTATATCATTTTGTATCTAGCGATCATAAAAAAAAAAAGGTGAATATAAGCTATATTTCTTAGTGAGTTCAACATTTTTGCGATGCGATGCACCTCAATATTGATAGAAAAGAATTTGTGTTGAATTTGAAAATTCTCTACATTATGAAGTAAGATGAGATTGCTAAAATCCTATTTAAAAAAATGAAAAAAAAAATAAAATAAAAGAAAACGGAACAAGATGAGATTGCATCTTTAATTAAGAATTGAGATAACTTTAGGTTTTCTGATGGTCTTCAATGAAAAGGTTGTCTTATCTTGGAATATCTCTTCACATCTCCACTCCACTACTTTTATCATTCTACTTATCCTTTCACTCTTCCTTGTCAATCCTTTGTAAAGTGGATAGGATTTTACAATCTTTATTGTTTGTCCAAAAACTCTCGCAATAATGAATTTTCCCACAAACTTTGAAAGCGAAAAAACAAACAAAATTTAAGCAGTTCAATTTTTGACACGTTCATTAACGAGAACTAGAAACTTCACTAATGTCAAAAGTACTAAAAATATTCTCTCTAATACTACAAAAATCTTAAGGGTGATGCAAAAAAGATAATCCATGTCTTATATTACCGATCGGGATCAACCAACATATAAAGTACAAGGAGTACTCAATACAAAAAAACTACACTAGTATCCATCATATAGAAAGGTTACATTTAAAGTCGCACCAAAAAATAATCCCTATCAACGTCACTAATCGGGGAGGTAATGAAAGCACAGAATCTCCTTTATATCAGAAAACAAAGATGATAACTAACTCTATTTTCAACACGTGACATATAAAACAACATTTGAGCATGTTTGG